CCCTTCAGTGTCCCTTAAAGTGTGTGGGGATGGTACTTCCATCAGCTCGTCCACCTTGGTTGATCTGGGTTGTATTCCTTTAGTGGTGACATAGTATCCCAGCTATTGGCCTTCCTCGACATGGAAGGTACACCTCCCCAGGTTCAACTTCATCTTGAATGTTTCTTCCACGTAATTAAGTAATCTCCTGTCATCTGGGCTTTTTATGACCATTTCTTCGATGTATACTTCAATGTTCCTTTTAATTTCATTGGCAAAGATGGAGTCGACGAGGCGCTAGTAGGTCGCACCTGCGTTCTTTAGGCCGAATGGAATTTTGGTGTAGCAGAAAACCCCATGGTCCATGTAAAAGGTTGTCTTATCTTCTTCTTCTTTATGCATCAAGATTCGGTGGTACCCCTTATACGCATCTAGAAAGCATTTTAGTCTGAAACCCTACATGGATTCACTTTTTAATCGATTTCTGGTAGGGGGTAGCAGTCTTTAGGGAAGGCCTGATTTAGATCAAAGTAATCGATGCACATGCGGCACGTGCAATCGTGCTTTTTAACCATGATAGGGTTTGCGATCTAGGTCGGCAAGTTTGCCTCCCAGAGAATTCCTTCTTCAGTTAGGTTGACGACCTCGGTGTTGATTGGCATGTTCCTGTCTCCCCCCTTGAACTCGTTTTTTTTGTTTGGTTTCCTTGGCGCCCAGTTTTATCATGAGCTTGTGCTCTATGACCTCCCTGTCTACTCCTACCTTGTTTGTAGTAGTCCAAGCAAAGACATGCTTGTATTTATTTAAAAGCGTAACATCCGAAAAATTCAATAAATTTAAAACTTTCAAAACAACCCTTTTCTAATATAAGTGTTACAAAACCATTGTTTTCAAAACATTATTTAAAATCATAATCTCCTAAGATCAAATCAGTTGAAAACCAAGGATGTGTACGGTCATGCCTTCGCCTTGCCACGATCCACTGAAGTACCTAAAACCAAAAACCAAAACTATAAGCATGAAGCTTAGTTCCCCCAAAATATTACCACATACACATAATAACAAACAAACAACATGTCGAGTGCGATCATCCTCGGGATGGAATACCCCAAACAAAATGCCAATATACAATGGGTCCACAACCTATTGAGGTTGGATTACCCCCGACCCACAACCTATCGAGGTTGGAATACCCATACATATTGGGTCCACAACCTGTCGAGGTTGGATTACCCCGACCCACAACCTATCGAGGTTGGAATGCTCATACACTATAGGTCCAATCAACCATCAGGTTGGAATACCCTAACCCCTCAACCATCGAGTTGGAATGCCAATGTACAACGGGTGCTGTCATCCTCAGGATGGAATACCATTGGTCCCATTTAACTATTGGGTTGGTATGCCCCTCGACCTATTGGCTTACTCACAAAGCAGTAAAGTCGCATCCACCAATCAAATATGTGCACATATAGCAGATAATTATATAACACTCTATAACCAGTCAGATAGATTTACAGATCACTAAGCATAGCATCATCCTATATACCAGGATACTGATCTAATAGATCACTACAACACAATAGCATACATATCATGATATCAAATCCAAAGGGTCAACCTTGGTGCCTCGACCCGCAAGTACAGTGAGGAAAACTCACCTCGATCTGCTAATAATCAAATAATTACTCGGACCGCCGAACCGGATAACCTCGCACCAGCTAACAATAAATACAATCTTAAGCAATAATTAACCCAATAACCCAAAATACCCTTAGGTCAAACTTGGTCAACCTTTGCCAAATTCAAAGTCAACGGTCAAGGTCCAAAAGCCAATATTTCTTCCTAGTGGAATACGCCCTACATACCAAGAGAGTACGCCCATCGTACTCTGATGTTGACCAATAACGGGGCTTTGACCGCATATGCACAACATACCACCAGGTACCCCCAACGTACTTATCCCAGTACCAAAACTCCATTAAGAGCTTATTCTATTAAGTTGTTACATCCAAAACTCAGATCCAAGCCCAAAATGATGTCCTAAATCATAAAGTTTCGAACTTTATGACTTTGCATGGCTATAAAGTTCTTAATGTCCAAAATTCTAAGTTCTTCACCTAATAATACATCATAACTCTTGCATGGAAGGGATAGAAGGGCCAAGATCACATTTGTATAGTCCATAATAGCTTTATAATGGATAAAATATCCACATTTATCCATTAAAATGGTCCCAAAAAACAAGATCTAGTCTTTAAGTCTAAAAGGGACCTAAAAGTTCATTTTTTTCAACTTAATCCATTATGTACAAGTCTCCAACTTTCAAATCTGAATCAAAATGATGTTTATATGGATAAAGTTTCCAACTTTATCACAAGGTCACAAAAAATTTCAAGATCTAAACTTTATGCACTAAAATGACCAAAACTCATAACATCCAAACCTAGTTGGATCTAACAAATGCATCATCAAGACTCAAAATTTATACCTCTAGAAGATAGATCAAGGTGAACAAAGTCCAGATCTACAAGCTCCAAAGCAACCAACACGTCTCCAAGAAGTTCATTCTCCTCCAAGGTGCACCATGCATACTCCAAAGTACTCAAAAACACCTTCTTTTAGCAGACAATGCTCAACTAGGGTTAGGGTTTCATGGAAGGGGTGTTGGAGGGGGTGGAGGCTGAGAATGGAGTGGGTTTGGGGGAGTTACGAAGATTAATTAGGGCTCAAACCAAGAAAATAGGTTTGGGCACTGATTGCATACGTCCAGCGTACTCACGGTGCCTCGGTACGCCCAATATACTCCCTTTTATACACCCAACGTACTCAGCACAACCCAAAACCGACCAAACTACAAATGAGCATAACTTCTTCGTTGTAACTCCGATTTTGACATTATTTATATCTGCTGAAAGTTAACGAGAAGCTCTACACTTATATCAACTCATACTTTCTTAAAACATTCCGAACAAAAATCCAAAATTCATAAAAGCCCGAAGTGACACTTTATGGAAATACCCCTTGACGCCAAAACCCATACCAAGCTCCCAGATCATCCAAATTACATTACCCACAACCAAATGTGTCTAAATCTCTTTTCCTTAAAGGCCCTAAGCTTGATGATACTCGGTCTTCGGGTTACCACCCCCACATAGGAAACGATTCAGAACAGGGCATCGTCGGGGGAAGGTTGCATCCTATGTTGACTGGTTGGTCTGAGTATTCCATATTGTTGATTTCACTATCACTTGTTGGCTCCGCCCATGATCTTTTTCTTTCCTGCATGATCTTTTTAAGCTACATGATCTAATAACACTGTAATTCTCTTGGTGGTGTTTCCAATATCGTCCCCGACCTTCTGTTGTACTAAATTTGACTATTCCATGCATTGTCGATAGGATTGCTCTGAATTTGAGTAGGGTTGTCTGTCCAAGGATGATGTTGTGTTATGTTGGTTGCCGGATTACAACAAAATCTATGAGGTTTCTTTTGTTCTTTGCCTTGTCATAGATGGTCAATGTCAACCACATGTGGATTGTGCTTAGGGGCCACAGGTCGTGCCCTGTGAATCCTGTCGGCCGCCTAGTTGTAGGTTTGAGGCTCTCCTTCCACCTATCCAGGAGGAGACAGAAACAATGCTCATAGATAATATCTGTTGAACTGATGGTATCGATGTATACCCGGTGGATAGTAATGTCTCTAATGGGCTCTTGAATTATGAGCGGGTCGTCTCCTCGCCAGCCTACTGATCAAGGATGTTTTGCTGAGAATGTCAAGCCTTACATAGATTTAGTAAGGCTGTTAGCCTCATCGTATTCTTCTTGCCTTTCCCGCTTTCACCTAATTATCAGGATTTCGTGAGGTTGGTCACACTCCATTGCTGTATCCTTGGCATTATCGGTATTGAACTTAGCACAGAGACTCCACGCTACCTCTATGGGGTTCACTTTTAGTTGTTTCTCCTCCATTTCCATTTTTAATACTGAATAGTTGATGATGTCGTGTATCTTGGTCTTGTGGTATTCATAGTACCGTCCATTTCCTCCCTCCACTTGTTGTTTATCAAAGACTACATAGATGACTGGTCGCCTTCCTCTTCTTTCATCTCTTTAGAATGGCCTAAAACTTCCTTATGGGCACTTCCCTCACCTGAGTGTCTTCCACCACCCAGGGTTTCCATGTAGTGCGATAGTGAGCTGTGACATATTGTGGCTGAGGTGGTCATGGCGTTTAAGTATGCTTGCTTCGTTGCATCCGCTTCATCTTGTCTCAGATAGCGTTCTACCTTCTCTTTTATCTCATCTTGTGTCTGGGGTTTCTTCCCCATGAGCTTCTAGGACCGCGGTCCTGGGAGGAGGCCCCACGTGAAGGCGCCTGCTATTAATCCTTCGTTATGACCTAGGACGTCTAATGTGGCATTAGTGAACCTGGTGAAGTATTCTCACACTGTCTCTCCTTCCTTCTATTTACAACCGATGATTGAGTGTGAATATCCTTTGTATTTATGCAATTGCATGAAATTTGTCAAGAAAAGGTACTTTCGTTGGGTAAAATTGTAAATGCTCCTTGGATTTAACATCTTGAACCACGTTCTTGCGTTGTCATCTAAGGTTGTTGGGAAATACATAAACCAGAATAGCTCATCTAGTTTTAACGAGATCATTGTCCACTCGTAAGTATCGATGTGATTATCTGGATTTGTGGTTCCATTGTAGGTCTTGAGGTGTAGTAACTTCACTGTATTTGGGATCGTGTAGTCTAGGAGTTCTTTGGCAAACGAAGATGTTACACTTCGCGATAAACAATATTGGTTTGGGATGGAGAAAACACCTTGTGAGTTATATTGTTGGGCGGTGAGCTATGGTTGCATTATCATGCCATTGTATGCTGAGAGGTGCCCAGGGTTTGGGACGTAAAAGGTTTGTTGCTGAAACGGGAAGATTGGTGTTTGGATTGATAGTAGGGGTGGGTTTTGTGCTAGCGAGCTGTTTGACATGAATGGCTGATGTTGTGGGATTATGTTAATAAAAGGCGTGTTTGTAACAAACGAAGGTGTCTGGAAAGCCATTGTTTGTTCTCTCACCATTTGGCTTAGCGGCGGTATTTGTGAGATAACTAGCACGCCGCTGACGTTGTCCGTTATTAGTGGTGTTATGTTACTTGAGATCACCTTTTGCTATGGTGTTTGTGTACAGGCACTTTTGTGCCATTGCAACGGCAGAGGATGTTTGTCCTTCGTCGGTCGGCCTCCATAATGCATTTGTTGGAGCAGTAGCCGTCATTGAGCTGCCTTGTTGTGATGTTTCACCGGTAACTGGTGTGAGAATTGGGGCGATAATTGGTTCCAACGCCTGATGGGGCTTGTCGGGGTCCCACCAGTCCTGCCGGTGTCGTCGGATGCCATATTCAAGTGTTGAGGAGTGTGCTTTTGGTTTGTTGTTTGTTATACTGCGGATGATGCAAAATGATGAGATTTAGTCATCGGACAATTACACATTGTACTTCTAATTGCTCCGATGAGCCTGAAAAGTCACAATAGGAAGGAGTCGTCAGCTGTTCTCTGGGAGGAGGTTCCCGAGAAAACGCTCTGATGGTAAAGTTAGTGGATAGACTTGGGTGTATTCTAGAGTGAATTGGGAGAGAGCAACTTACTTTCCAAGGTACGAGAGGAGGCCTTTTATACTAAGGTCTTCTGCTAGTCCACACAGGACAAAGGCATCACACCCGACATGATCGGGGGCGCTGATTGGGTAATTGTTCTCCTTGATCTGTCAGGGCCAACTATTGGTTCGGGTGATAATGCTCTGAGCATCTTCCTTGTTGCTTAGCGTCGGTTTACTTTGTCGCAGAGTACAAGGTGCCCTTGGTGGGGCCGGGACTATTCCACGGGCGCCCTGTTCTTAGGGGCGTCCACGAGTGCGAGGTTCCGTCGAGCTTATTCCGCCAGACGCAACTTGCCTTGGGGAATTCTCTGGCGTGAATCTTCGTTCGTGCAAATACGGCACGTCATCACACACACACGCACACACACACACACACACATATATATATATATATATATATATATATATCATTCTTTAGGATTTTTTGTTAAATTGATTATTGTTTTAACTGTATGATGTGAATTGATTATTATTTTAAGTGTATGATGTGAACATCTGTAGCAGTTGAATAAAGATAAATGGTTTAGTGGTGTAAATTGAAGGGATGATGAGATCAAAACATTTGTTGGGTTGTCACCTTGGTGGTGAACCACTGAGGTACCATTTTGGTGTGAAAGCTAGTGGCGTGTTTGATGAGGAAAAATATATTTCTCTAGTTTATTTAATAAAGTAATATATATCATTTTCATATTCAATTAAACTAGGAGTCTAGGAATATATTATTGAAGGAAAGTCATGTTCTTTATTCCTAATTATCACACTTTATAGTATTATATATTCTTATGAGTAGGCTTTATAATGAGATTTTCGGTTTAAGACTCAAGGTAATTTTTTCGATTGTTGTTTTTATTCTTGACAAGAAAATGTGTAAGACAATCATGTTGTCCTGTAGAGATTTGAACATAAAAAAGCACACATAGAGAATATTGTAGGTTTTTTTTTGGATTTTGGTGGCTACATTTCATGTAGAAGAATAGGGATGGATAATTATATTGATTTTTTTAAGATGCAAGAAAATGGGATACCGATGTCATTTTGAAGAAACTAGAAAAAATAAAGGTTAGCATTGCAAGAAGAATCGAACTTACTAGTAAACAAATAGAAAATAAGAGAAGGTACCAGAGAAATATCCTCCAAAGACAATAATAAATATTGTGAGCATCACTCGATTTGTGGCCATGATACAACGGAGTGCGACGTCTTGAAGAAAGAAATTGAAGGTCGCCTGAAGTCTAGGAAATTGAATAGTTACACCATGGATATGAAAAAGAAAAGTTATAAAGATAAATGACCAAGAGACAAAGAAGAAACCAGTGAGCATAATGAGAACAAGATTTTAATTATCAAGTCAAGATATATTAAAGAAAGAGATGACCCTAGTCGTCCCAGCGGGGGAAACATTAAATTTAACCAAAATGATCCTATCCCTAAAGACCATAGGGGAGACAGGCCCCTCTTTATCTAAGGAGTAGTAGATAGAGTTCGGGTCCACAAGATATATGTCAATGGAGGCAACTTGTCGGAGGTGATATTCAAACATTGTTTCCAATATTTCCCAGCAAATACAAAAGCAAAACTTAAAGATCCTTTATCCCCTATTATTGGCTTCAATAGACACTAACTTTGGCCACTTGACACCATTACTCTCCCCCTCACAGCGGAGGACTATAAGGGAAGCGTAAAGAAAACAATTAACATTGAATTTGTTGGGGTTTGGGCACCTTCCCCACACAACATCATCCTCGGTCGAGAAGGTTTAAGGAAACTCAAAGTTGTTCCTTCTATGTTGCATGGGTTAGTTAAATTATCCATCCTTAACGGGTTAGGATCATGGTATGCGTCCCAATGATCACACCACACTACAACCAAATAATAGTCTCTGAACAGTTTGACCTCAGACATAAACGACAACAAGATCATGAGGACGAAAAATTCATATATAAGAAGTACCTGAATCAACTGATAAAGATATGAGTTTCACTTCCCCCGTCACTTAAAAAGGAAATATGAAAACTTCTTCAAGACAACATGGATATTTTTTCTTGGACACCTTCTGCTATGAAAGGAGTATCCTGAAACTTGGTTGAACACAAGATTAGCCTTATCCTAAAGGCTCGTCCCATCAGGCAAAAGAAACGCACGTTGGCAGGTGAAACGAGCAAGTCAGTGAATGATGAGGTCGATAAACTGGTCAAGGCAAAGATTTTAAGAGAATCCATATTCCTTGTATGGATATCTTAACTGGTCTTAGTTAAGAAAGGAGACAGATCATTGTGTATGTGTGTGGAATATACAAGTCTCAATAAGTCTTGTCCTAAGGATTGCTACCCCATCCCCGAAATCGACGAAAAAGTTGAATCTCTAGAAGGCTTCCAATGAAAGAGTTTCCTAGATGCGTACAAGGGATATCATCAAATTCAAATGGAAAAAATACGATGAAGATAAAACATCTTTCTATACAAATCGAGGCACCTTTTGTTACACTAAAATGTCATTCGGTCTAAAGAATGCATGAGCTACTTACCAATGCATGGTGGATAAAGTTTTCACAGAACAAATAGGACGCAATGTGGAGGTCTATGTGGATGACATGGTTATATAAAGCAAGGGGAAGGAAACCCTAGGGTAATGGGGTGTAACACTACTAATTTAGTTTGGATTTCCTATGTAAGGCCCGAGATATAACAATTAAGGAGAGCCTAATTAGAGATTCCGATGACCCGGTTACATAATTTCTCAAACGCAGCTTGATAGGCGGTGATAGTGGTGAGTTGTTTGAGTTTGAAGAGGGAGGCTTGGTGGTTTTTATAATCAGATGCGTTGAACCGGTGTACGAGAGCCCGAGAAAATTCTGGTCATATACCTAGAAGTTGGTTATTAGCGAGGTATGTATACCAACTCAAGGCGTCTCCGGTAAAATAAAATTGGGCCAAAGAGAGGCGTTGTGGTGGTGGAATGGAGTAATAGGTGAAGTAGTTTTCTTATTGAAAAAGCAAATCAAGAGGATTGGATCCGTCGAATGTTGGGTGGTGTATTTTTAGGGGGCGGAGGTTGGTGTGCGGTGGCGGTAGTGACTATGGTGGTGGCCCGTTGATGTTGTTGGCTGGGAGGAGTTGGACAATGGCGTCAGTTTCTTTAACGATGTTAGCGGCTTGAGTAGCGAGATGAGTGGTGATTGTGTCTAGGCGATGGTTGGAAGCGGTAGAGAGGTGGATGAGAACCTGTATAATCGATCGTTGAGGGCGGCAGTGGGGTGATCGAAGGCGGCCTTGGTGTTGTCAGAGGTGGAACCTGACTCGACTTTGGGAGGCATGGAGACGATAAAGAAAGCACCAAATTGATAAAGGCCCTTTTTGAGTTGGCTAATCTTCTAAAAATCAAAAGAAGAACACAGAAGCTTGAAACAATTTTCTTAATCATTTCGCCAAAAGAAAGTATAGTGCAATGTATAAATAGAACTACTAGCTAGAAAATAGGAAAAATGATAACAATAAGAAACGTGAACTATGACCAGTTCTTTGAAGGACGTGGTCTCCTAACGTGATGCAAACAAGAAATAATGAAAAATACGGTTACTATCTACATTATTCACGAAAGGGATGTGTGGTATTTCATTTGGGCTTTGTGTTGGGATCTTCAGGTGGAGTTGGGGCTGTTTCGGTTGGGCTCGTATCATACACCTTGTAGTTTCACCAAATTACCTAGTTTCTTCGGCAGGACAGCTACATAACACATCACCCGGAGTGACTAGCCAGGCTATCCCTAGTATCATAACTACGGAGCCCCAATTCATATATGAAAGCAATGGTGACAAAAGAGTATGGTCCTAGGGTGATCGAAACCTTCTTGCGTTGCTTTGACATCCATAAAAAAACTGTATGCTAAACTTGGTTATGTTTCATTGATTTAGAAAAACGATACAGCTGATCAATAAATAGTAAACCTAGCTAGAAAAGAGGACTAAACTAGGAAACTATAACAAACGAATAAAGATCATATATATGACAAAAATATAGCCTTTACTCCCCCTCAAGATGAGCATGGAGATTTCGAATGTTCATCTTGACAAGAAGAGAGTTTAGCCTATTTGAACCAAGAGGCTTAGTAAGAAGATCTGCGAGCTTATGGTTAGTGTGAATCCAAGACGGAGCTATCTCATTGGACTCCACCCTTTCGCGAACAAAAAACAATCCATCTCCACGTGTTTAGTTCTTTCGTGAAAGATGGGATTGTGAGCAATGTGTTTGGCTGATTTATTGTCACAAAAGAGTGGCTTCTTGAAGTTCACTCCAAGTTTTGACAACAACTAGCGAACCCATAAAGTTTCTCTTACTGTGGTGGCCATTGCCTGATATTCTGCCTCAGCCGAGGACCGAGACACAATTGACTGCTTCTTTGACTTCCATGAAACAGGGGCGCCACCTAAAAGTAATAAATAACCCGTTCTAGAACATCGAGAGTAGGGTCAACCAAGCCAGTCAGAGTCGCTATAAGCTACCAAATCCAGTGATCCTTCTCGGGGTAGAAGAATACCTTGACCCAAGGTTGTTTTGAGGTACCGCAATACTCGCATAGCTGCATGCCAATGGTTAGTTATGGGGTCCGAGACAAATTGACTCACAATATTCACTGAGTAAGTGATGTCCGGTCGTGTAGCTTGAAGATATAGTAAACGACCTACAAGCCGACGAT